CTTAAGTAGATTAAACTGAAGTCTTCAGTGGCTCTGGTGTTAAGGATAAGGGAGCCCGGACTACAAATACCACTTCTCAATGTCTCTCCTCAAAGACAGAGATTCTCAGAGGGCTGTTAGTTAAACCTGCAGATCTCTACCAAAATCCACTTCTTGACCTCTGCTCCCTCCTCCTTTCTTTTAAATAAGAATGAACTGAGTGTCCATCCTTCCACATTGTTTTTGCAGGACTTAGTCATAGATGTACTGTTCTTTTTGTTACTGAGAGGCTGTTTGTTCTGATTTTGAGACTGAGGCAAGAATCCTTCACCTGCGTCTAGATCATGGTAACCAACCTCCCATTCATGGGCCTTGGTGCCCCTTTTTACTGGAGTGCTTCAGAGGTGAGGAGGAATTGGTTTGCATCAACTGTTTAGGGTTTTAAGACCATTCCATGTTTCTGAGATTGTAGTCCCTCTCTGTTCTGGTAACTGGACAGATAAGTGCACACCACGTGACACCATGCACACACTCACTTTTGGTCAGATGTGTAGCCAGCAAGTGAGTATCTGTCCAGTTGTATGATGGGATGTGTGTGTGTCCCTTAGGCCACTAGGTAAGAATGGATGTGCCAATCATATGAGCTTGCAGTCATGCTGCTGAGGACTGGCAGTGGTCTGTGACTTGTCTAGGAACAGCATCCTTGCTCTGACAGAAGATATGGGCACCACAGCTCCCAGTCATTCACTGTTTTATGTATTTTATCATGCTCTTGTGTATTTGCCTTTTCTCCAAGGCATAAGGTATTTTCATGAGTCACTTTATATGAAAACTGTGTTTCTCTTTTGAACCCGTGTTTCCTGCATCTTGCCTAGCTCCTGAGGAGACTGTCAAGTCATCCCCCCTGTAGGGCCTTTTCCAGATGCCTTTTGTCTTAGTGAATGCACATAGTTCATCTCTGTATTTCCTTAGCTATGTGCACTGAAGTAAGTCATTTGCTTTATGACTATGGCTGTATAGTCCTTGAAAATTTCACTGACTTTCTCAGGTCTTTTGGGAACTGGTGCATGTGACTCAGTGTTGCAACAGGTTACTTGGAAGTCTTTGTGTTGTCCCATCTGGATTGCATGTAGATATTTTTGTTATTCTTCCAGAAGTTACAATGTGGATCCTGCATCATCAAGCACACTTTCCTATACCTGCACTGCATGGTAAACTGCTTTTTTGCTTACCTCTGATCACTGGAACATCTTCTTCTGATGCTGAGGTAACAGCTCTCAGCCCAGCTCACTCAGCACCTCTGAGAGTGTGCTCTGTTGCATGTGTGCAGAGAACATGCTGCGAGTGAGTGAGGGCTGCTTGAGGCTTTCAGTACATAGTTCACCTTGGTTTTGAACGTTTAACTAGTTCTTGCAGAATCATCCACCCTAAATTCAGGGTAGGTGAAAGCTGCACGTGGATACCTTCTGTAGTACTTGGTAGTCACACATGTAAACAGAAAACAGACATGAAGGAACAGAAGCTATGCTTAACCTGTTTGCACAAAGTTAGAATTGGAAATGCATGTCTGTCTCTATCTAGACAGACCTGTGGATGTATTTCTGACACTTCCAGGAGGACAGAGTCTTTGACAAGGTATGCTTTACCTTTCATGTCATGTTCATTCAAGCAAACTCTTATCCTGGTGTAATGTGCTGTCTTTAATAAAAATCTGCCTTGTCCATTCCCTGGGGCATTTTGGGTACTGGAGGGAGTAGTCTGATGATATGAGTAGAGCCAGACAAAGCAGTTGCTGCCATGGAAAGGGAAGATGTCTCATTTATCTTCTTATGCTCCCGAATTGCCTGCCAGCATCCCCTCCTGTTGAGCCAGTCAGCAATTTCACTTGTCTTACCCTCTGGTTAGGTGATTATACTCCCTACCCTGTCATGGGGACAAAAAACCCTGTAAAATGGAGAGAGACTGGTTTTCTTCTAGGTTACATAATTTAATCATCTTTACTAGTCACTTGGGCAAATGCCAAACCAAGCACGAAGGTGGAAATGTTGTTGGAGGAGGAGGGAAAAATGGGAGGGTACAGTACTGCTGCAGTCAAGCTTACTTTATAGCTCATTGCTAGTGGAAACAACTGTTGCTCCTCTTCAGCCCCTCTCTGTGCTGCCGCCTCTCTGTCCTGTCAGCCCTGCGCGTAGTGGCACTCCTGCCCAGCAGCGAGCTGGCTCAGGCAACCAAAGAGCAGCTTTAGTTTGCAGCACAATTATTTTTTTGTGGTTTTTTTTTTTTTTTAGTCATTTAACTTGTTAAACCAGCTCACTACTAAGGCAGGTAAGCAAAACAGAAGTAGCAGGCTGGGGGTAAAGTGATGAAGGACAAACTCCTCTTTGGCAATGATTAGGTATCAACTCGTTGGCAAGGCCGGGGTGCTTGACAGGGCCTGGTGCCATGCTGGTAAGCTGCACGGGCTTGGCCCCCCCTTCAGTTGCCACTGGTGTGACCTGGGGATAAACAGTGCCCATCCCTGTTCTCCCATCGGGTTTCAGCCTTACTGGTGCCCAGAGGGGTGGCTGTGTTGGTCACCAGGTTGTTATTCCTAACCCAAAGGAGAGAGCGAAGCAGGGTGATCTAAGGCCATGCTAGAACGTTCCTTCCATTCACAGGCCACAAGTGTTTGAGCTGCAACCAGCCATAAAGATGCATCCTCCTTTGTTTTCATACCTGTCTAATTGCAAAGGTTTTCTTCCTCTCACTGGAAAACTACAGCACATAACTCATTACCACCTCTTAACTTAGACCAGATATCGGCACATTTAACCACTTCAGTGAGACGGTGGTGTGGGAGTAACTCATCTGCAGTATTTGTCTTCTGAGGACTGTATAACATCCACTTTAACAGGATGAACACTCTTGATTTTGTAATAACAACTCAGTGTATCCCTGTAGAATACCAGCCTTCTTGCTTTTTTAGTAGCCATTCATTTGGGAGTAAATGAATAAGTTGCAAGGCAGCAATGTCAATCCCTAATGTCACATTATTGTCCATTTTCTTCACGGAATCCAACTTCTGTTGCAGTCATGGGGACTACAGTTACCATTAAAATGTGAGGTTTTTTCAACAGTCTGGGGATTCCTTTTTATGAAGTCTTATTCTTTAGTATGGTGGGTTTGTTCTGCCATATACTAAAATGCAGACGTTCAAATATTGTCATGGTGTTATACTGCAGTTAAGATTTTATTTACTAAAACACTTGTGCATGTGACTTGAGATCTTAAAACAGTTGCACTGGTGTATATCACAATTCACTGTAAGCTGTATTTTCTTTGTTTTACTGGGCTTCAAAGCAGGTTTTCTCTGCAGAACTTTGAGCAACTGGAATGACTTAGCAGGAGTTTTCCTCATGACTTAGCAGGAGTTTTCCTCAGTGTGAAATCTCATGAGAAGGACAAAACTTGGAACCTGAGAGAAAATCAAGATTTAATGTGCAATTGGTTCACTCAGAGACAGGATGCTAAGTTGACTGGATCATCTGGAAAGTTGGTGTCACAGCAAAATGAAAAGTAGAATTTAATTGGCTGATCTGTCACTTTGTATGAAGAGACAGGGAAGTTTTCCTTAAACTAGTCCAGCAATTAAGAGATATGAGCTTTATGAATGTTCTAGGCCTGGCTGTGCTCTCTTATTACATTTAATGGGTTTAAAATTACATTAGCCATCTCACTGCTTCCTCAATGATTCTTTTCTTTTTTTAAACTTACATTAACTACGGCTCAGTTAGGATCTACTTCCATTATTCTGCTCAGCTTTTAATGTTATAAAATAAGCCGATGTGCTTTTTTATTGATGCAAGCATATTATAGTTTCATGAACAGATTTATGCACAGTTTATTTGTTTATACTTAAAAGTAAAGACCCAACCTGTAGTTTTAGGAAAGAGGCAGAGAGTGGCACAAATGTTATTTTAAAATATAAAAGTTTTAATTTCACATTCATTAAGGATTCTGATTTTTCATATGACACTTAACCTTTCAACCCAACTTACTATATTGAGTTGTGGCTATAACAAGCATATGACATATTGGACTTAGCCTTGCTGCTTTTTCTCTCTACTAGCCTCCAAACCTACTGCAGAACGGTAAAATGTGAATAAAAAGTAATGGGATCTTTCTGTCCCAACTCCAGGTTGAGTCAATACTGAGACTGTGGCACAGAGTGAGTAAACTGAGGCAATTCACGTTTGAGAGAAGATGCGGTTTCATTCTTCACAAACACAGAAGTTAACATTTTAGTGAACTGTCTGTAGATGTCCTTTAGTCGTGACAAGCTTCTGCAGAACAACACTTCAGGAACATTTCTTCTGAATTTATCATATTCACTCAAATAGCATTCTTTCTATTCTGTGAGAAGTTCTGTGCTTTTAAGGAGGATGGAAAACTTTCCGCGTTAAGAAAGAGTAACTTTTTTTTTCAGAAAGGAATAAGAAATTAATTATTAAATAGTAATTAAGCAAAAGCTATTAAAAATAAGATTGAGCTTGAAAGCTTAGTGCAGAGACTTTAGACTCAGCTGCAGCTCCTCATTCCAAGAAGTCTGTAGAAGGCACAGACTTGTGAGCTTCACTGGCAAGAACCTGCTGTGCTTGGCAGCGTTGGCTCCACAGCACTCAGTGTGAGAGAAGCACCTTTGTAGCAAATGTGGGTTTTACATCAGCCCCTTAGGAAAGCTGGTAAAACAGTAGCCATGGTGCTGTCAGTGTTCTGCTTGTATTTTGCTAGAAATACCTCAAAACCAGTATGTTAACATGTCCATGAACTGGCATTTTTCCACTGCAGCCTATTAATCTGGAGAATTCTTTTTAGTTGTTAATGCTTTGTACATATTGAGCCCTTTTCATGGCTGTGCCTCTTCTGGTCACTGCCATTGTTCAAGAAAGAGCCTGCAGCAGTTGTCAGGAAGGCCTCGCCCTCAGGCGTTAAGGTTTTGTTTCAGGAGCTAAAGAATTTACCTTGTATGTTTGGTCTTGCAGGAATTCTTCAGTGGGTGAAGCTGATAGATAACTTTGAGGCTGAGTACGAGTATGTCACCAATGAAGGAACAGTGTTCACTTTCAAGACAAACCGCCATTCTCCAAATTACCGGTTAATCAACATTGACTTCAGTGACCCAGACGAATCCAAATGGAAAGTTCTCATCCCTGAACATGAAAGAGATGTTCTAGGTAAGAGCTGATGTCAAGTAAAATGCTTTCTACTCTGCTTTTTTTCAAATTAATTCAGTAACCAGCCTATTGAATGATCTTGTACTGACCTTACTTTTTCCTGTGTTTAAACTTTGTTTAGCATTTGTGATTAAAAGGCTTGTTGAGACTTGAGAGATGTAGGATCCATTTCTCTCTCTCTCTCTAACATCCTTTGTGGCCATAGTGAAGTTGCTTCATCTATCCTTGTGTTAGTTCTGTGTTTGTAGGAAATGAAAGTATTTACTGCTTAATGTAAGTGTATTAAATGTTTACTGGACAGTCAGGGATTACAGCAAGAGGGACTTTGTAAGCAGAAACAAGGGAAAGGGCAAAACTGGCAGTAGTGCAGCACACTATGAACAGTGTTGGTCAGACTTTGAAACAGGATTTTCTGTTGTTCTTGAGATAAGAGGAGTAGACAGCAGTTGAAAGAAAGCCTCAGGCAAGCTGAAGGGCATGGAATTCTCTAAGCATAAAAGTAAATTCAAAATACAAGTCTTTGGTTTTAATCATAGTTACTAATAATTTGGGTTTAATAATTAAAGGGGTTTATGTTTTTAATCCTGTAATTTTGGGGAGAGTTCTATTAAAAGAGAATTTACACAATACAGGAGAAACCTCCTCTCAGCTGTTTTTTTGACAGATGCTTTCTGTACGTATATGTAGCTTATTCTCCATACAGTACAAGATGCAATTATGATTTATATGACCACCATATAGCTAATCAAAAAGACCCTCCTTTTTTATTAATCCATCCTTATACGAATTTATTCATGTTTGCTACTTTTCTGGTGAAGAACTTATTTACAGAATGAGTAGGATTCTGTGTATGTGTGATTTGATATGTATATATATAGTAACTGCTGTCTTTCCTAAGACAAACCTATTTGACTACAATTTCAAACTTCCCTTAAGATCTTGCCTTTTAAGACAACCAAAAAAAAAAAAAAAATCATTATTTCTGGCTGCATTTCACAATGTGTACTGCATGGTTTCTTCCACAGCCTAGTATATCCCCAGTGTGACATGGGACTCTGAGCACATTCAGAACTATAGTGGTGTTGCAAATGTCTGCAGTCTAGAATTTTGCAAGAATTTTGATAAATGCAAAAGTAGCAAATTAGAGCTTGGTGAGACACAAATACTTTCCTTAAGATTGTGAACTTTGAATCAGGAACTGTCTGCATCTTAAATGAAGTACCTTTCAAGTCCTACACAGAGAATAAATAATAGGTATAAGTGAAAAAATGCTTCCAAGTCTAATTTCTGATTGCATGTGAATTGGCTGACAGTCTGTGAAGCCGTGCTTAAGTTTATGAGGAACAGCAATTTATAAAGTGGGACCAAGGTGAAGAATTGACTTGGAGATAGTGAGTGTCCAATGTGATTGACATGAAATGTGGTTATGTGTGGATTCACAAGAGATGTCATCTAGGCAGCCAGCAGAGCTCTGACCAGTGGCTGTCTAGGCACTGGCTAGATATTCTTTCCCAGTAAGATACAGGCCACATCTGCTCTTTGCTACACTGTGGTATTGAGCACAATTTCATTTTGGTTTCACTGGAAAGGCAAAGTTGTGCTGAGTTCATGTTTATGCACAGGCAAAACCAAAAGAATTTAATGCATGCAACAGTCCTTTAATGGCTTATATGTGACAGCCTTGACTATACAAACATAACAGGAACTGAATTTAGAAAACTGAAAGTTCAGATAAATGGGTTTGCTGAAGGCACCATCCTTCAGACTGTAAACACAACAGGCATCCAGCTCTTAAACTCTTGAAGGCAAACATAATCTGTCATATAAAACCATCAGAGTGACTTTCAGGAGTCTGTTGTGTGTCATTATGCTTCCAGGGTATTTGAATGTGAAGCCAGAGCAGGCAATCATCTATCTACTTCTGTCTAGCATTTTGGAGTGGTACATAAAGGAATTGGATTAAGTTAACAAATGAAAGTGTCTCCATAAGATGACAAATTTTAAGTAGATCTTAGTGCTACAGTAAATAAGTTTGAATTGTTCACTTCTCTGTGGCAGACACTTGCAAATTAGTGTTACATCCTCAGCACCAAGATAAAGGAGTTCTACCATGTTCAGGAGGTTGTAGCCCTCAAATTAAAAAAAAAAAAAAAATTCTTCACCCAATGAAGTCAGCAAGCAAGCCAGTCCCTATGTCATGTTGTTTTAATCATTCCAAGATTTGGTTTAGATAGACATAATTATAGCAGAAGGTAGTTAATAATTCATCATCTTGAAAACCTCCTAGTCAAATGAATTTGATTTTGTGTGATCCAGAGATGACAATGTAATGAAATACCTTCTGCAAAAGCCAGGACAGCAGTGATTCAAAAGGTAAATGAGTACTGCTGCTTGTCCAATTGTATGTATGTGTGGGAGTGACTCTTTACCTAGATGTAATTAGCTGTGTTAGAATGTCTTTATAAACATTTCAGTTAGTGATGCTCTACGTCACAAATGTGTTTTACTGGGATATACAGGTACTCTGGTATGATCTGCCTGTTAGCCATAGCCACCTTAATTTCTATATGTTACCTCTAGTTTCAATTTCATAAAAGCTGCACTGTGCATATGTAGAAATAGATTTATCTATTAATAAATTCAGGATTAAGAATTGTGAGGCTCTGCCAGTGTCTATCAACAGCAAAAAGAGAAATTCCATAAAGCATCATAATGCATTCTTGGGGAAGGTGCTGTAGCTACTATAATCTAACCAAGAAATAAACACTTATGCCTACAAAGTAGTGTGAAGGTCATTTGGTTCCTTTGACATATTCTTCAAGAAGACTTTTTTTATTAGCTTTGACCTTTTTGTTTTCCAAACTGTTTATAAATGAGCTAATTTAGGAAATACAGGGGGAAAACCAAACATATTCCTGCAATGAATTTGTACACACACCTCATTTTACAGCTCTCAGCAGGGATTTCACACAGACTTGAGGTAAATTTAGATCTTTATTCTGTGAGCTGAGGGGAAAAATAAATGACAGCTATTTTAAAATTAAATTTGAGGGCCCTTAGAACATACTGGAGCATGATGAGGCTTATTTCCTCCTCTGTGGAGTTTGTTTGTAAAGTGTTACTTTTAATTTTCAGGAAGTCTAAAACCATAGGAGAGACTGATATCCAACATTGAAATAGTGTTTTAAATGACAACATAGCTGCAAGTAGGTGTGCTGAATTAGTTAAAAGGCAGCTGTACCTATTAAGTGCAGACTGGTCATGACAGACACTGAAACCATAGTTCTAAGGCATAGGATAAACCTGTTGTCTGTAGAAGGTTAATTAATTTTGAGAACTGACTCCCCCAGAAGTGCCCAATGCTGGTAGAGCAGGGCAACTTGAGAGTAGCAGTTACATCCAGCTACTGTACCTGTGACAATGGAAAGAAAAACGGAATAGATCTTCTGAGTAAGGAGGGCTGAGAAAAAAGACATAGTCCTAATTGTGTCATAGATGAGGTGAGTGATCTTGAGCAGTTCCTTGGATCTCAGTTGGCCATTTAACAAGCAGGGGCAAAGCTATCAATGCTCCTGTACCTTGTGCACATCTGCACACCAAAACTCAGTGCGTGTAAAACGCTTCCCTTCCCTCAGCTAGAATGTGCACTCCAAATGAGAAGTGTTTTTTTCTTCATACATTTAACCTGCTAGCTAATTCATAAACACTTATGAGTTTGGGGAGGGGAGTTAATGCAACTTAAAAGTATCTTTTGGCCTTGTAGCAATACCAGGAGAAATAGTGTGGAAAGAGTACCATGAAATTGTTCATCTGGAATGACAAGGATGTGCTTGGGTGTGAGTAATCCCTTGTGTTTGTCTTGGCCATCAGGAAGCTTGTGTGCCCTGTTACCTTGTGGTGTTTTTCAGAGTACCCATAGCTTTATGTGCCTGGCAGCTTTGCTTGCCAGGCAAGTGTGTGAAGGATTGTGTGACTGTTCTGAGGAGCAGCTGTGTGTAGTTCCTGTGTGTAGCCCAGAGGAACCACACTGTGGAGACAACTAGTGTGGAAGAGTGGCAGAGGAGGAAATCAGCTGCAACACAACCAACCAGATTGATAAGCTTCTACTGTGAGATGGGAGGGTGTGGGAGGGGGGGGAACACCTCTCCACAATTAGGATGTGGCTTAGCTCAAGCACTCCCTAAGATCTGGCCAAGCCAAATACAGTCCCTCAGCCACAGGGGACATGGGGAGAGCATTCTGTCTGTATGTGTGTCCTTGACTGTAAGTCTTATTCTTTTCCCCTGGTAGGGCCTTTGTGACTGTTTACCATGGAAAACCTCTGTCAGTCACAGTTCACTAAAGCCTATAGGTTACTTAAGGAAGTATTGCTCCTGATGTTTGCAGCTTCAGAAGAGCTTTTTCCTCCCCATCTCTGTCTGACGGTTGTGTGACCCATACTGAGAGGATGTGGGGTATAAAATCCTTTACTTGGTGAAACTGTTTTGGGCTTTCCATTAACTGAAATGTGGCAGTCGGTCAATGAGGATGGTATCTAAGTGAACAGATATATGCTGTATGTTGTGAGGGCTCATCAACATTTACTCACATGTTTGAGAATTATTCATATTTTATTCTGTGAATTGCTTGTGCTTTACTTGCAAGTTTACACATCAGTAGCTTTGAGTGGTGGTTATGACTCATTTTAAAGGAGGTCATCATATCTGCCAGTTAATCTGCAGGGACACCAAAGTTCATAGTCTCTATCTATGATGGCCAAAGAAACCAGAATGATCTTCCAGGTCTATTTTCTAGCTAAAGCTTTGGCAGTCCATTGAAATATATTTTTTTCATCAAGTCAGCACACAAGCTTATTGTACAGCGAGTAACTCAGAAGTTTCTGCTGTAGACTTTTAGCTGCCTAGCTCTTCTAGCATGGCATGTGCTTCTTCATCAAGATTTCAGCCTACACCTATCAAAGCATGTTTGTACAGTTGGATACTTAACATGTTGTAGCCACTGCTGCAGCAATGAAAGGTCACAGCTGTCATAAGTAATTAAGGTTAGTGGCACAGATGTTTGGTATGAGGATTCAACTTTTTTTTTTCCCTGAAACTATTTCAAAAGTTGTTCATAGTAGTGTTGCAGGTGCTGAGTTAGTCACATGCCTTTGCTCCTAATGAAAGCTGTCACAACAATAGAAGAGATTTTGGAAAGTAGCACTATATGAATTTTTAAAAGGTTGAGCTAGAACTTCTAGAGATGGTTGAGCTCGGTTTTCTAGGCCTTGTTAAAAAGTATTATTCCCTTCAGTGCAAATTTAGCTGTTTAAGAATTGTGTTGACATAATATAGTCATCAAGGTAGTCACTGTCATCTTCAGAGAGAAATGAATACCTGTTTTCAGTACTTACGAGTGCCTCCACGTGTGTCCATCTCTCTCTGATACTTGAGCCAAGAGGCTCAGGTTGGAAGAGGCAACCTTTATGTTTTTATTGTTTAGTTAAATAAGGCCTTTGCCTGATGGGTGTTGTGAGTAGGTGGATTGTAAGTATTCTGAAGAGCAATTGATAAATTTAGGTGTAACTGGGAGAATAACGGCTCTGTTCATTGGTATTAACTGCAAATAAACTGACCTTACACGTTGGAGAGGTCTCATGTAGTTAGCTATTTAAAAAACCCACTTGAGTGAAACTGCTCAGAAAGTAATTCTCAGTGTCTGAGAACTGGGTATCCAGAATAATGGAGTAAACTGCATTCTAAAGGTGGTTATTGTGCAAATGGTCACAAGTTGTGCCAGGGGAGATTTAGATTAGGCATTAGGAAAAATCTTTTCACCAAGAGTGTTGTTAAGCATTGGAACAGGCTGCCCAGGGAAGTGGTCCCAGGGCATCAGGGAGTCAGTCATCATCCCTGAACGTATTTAAAAAGTGTGTAGATTTGGTGCTTAGGGACATAGTTTAATGACGGACTTGGCAATGGTTGGACTTGATGATCTTAAAGATCTTTTCCAACCTAACCAGGTCTGATTCTGTTTCTGACCATTCCCTACAAAGGGAGCCTGCAACAGTTGTGTCAGGCTTAGCTTTTAGACATGAAGTTTGCAAGCACACGATCTTGAAAGCTTCTAGGAAGTACAGAGACATGCAGGATACATTCTGCAAAGCGTGAGCAAAACCAAGGACACTGGCTGCTAATGCAGCAAACTCAACAGTTTCTGCAGTTCTCGGGGCCAAGCATGGGAGTAACAGAGTCTCAGCTTGTAGCTTAAAGTCAAAAAATAGCTCTCGTTAATAATTCAGCATTGGTTTAGCTTGCTGTGTATAAAAGTGTTGGCTCTTAGTGTCTGTCTTTTTCTGCTGCTCTTTCAAGTCTGCTTCAATGTTTTGCTCTGTTTTGATTTTTGCAGTTCTTTGTCACTTCCACTACTATAACTTTTGGAGGCAGTTAGCACTGCATGAAAACCAGTTTTAATACAGGTATTATACACAGAAGCTATGTTTCTAAATATCACAGAATGTTTTTAAAACATTTGGTGTTGTCTTCTGTTATCTTCACATTGCTAAGACCATCTAATTTGCAAACCAAACATGTGATGGAGAGTTAATATTAATTCTTCCTGGGCAAGTTCTTCAGTAGCAGGAATCCCCACGTAAGCCAGCAGCCTTACTCCTGGGCAGTTGATTTTTTCCAGTAAAGGAGTAATATCTCTTTGTTATATAGAAGTCAAAGTAATAATGTACTTTGACTTTTAGTGAAACTATCCTTTAAACTGCAGTGCTTCATCAAATTATTAGTGAGGAATTAAGGGTTATCGCAATTTAATTTTAAAATAAAGATTGCTTAATTAGTATTTTTGCTGGAGCAAAACTACATATTCTATATGTTTGAAGTTTCTCTCAAAATGTCTATAACCCATTTTATGAAACTTTAATTGTCAGATAATTCCAAGAGTACAAATGGACATCTTAATTACAGATGTTTCTGAGAATACCAGTGTGGTTCATGAGATCTGCATCTTATTGCTGAGCAGTTAATTCTGCAGGCAAAAATGGTGTGTTATTGTAGGGATGTTATTTTTTATTTATTTATTTACATTGTGTGTTAATAAACCAGTTACAAGTGTGAATGTTGGCAGATTCGTGCAATGACAATGTAATAAATTTAAATTACTGCATATTCTCCTTGTTTGTACAGCCAAGAATGATTAAATATTTCAAAATATATAATTTGGTGTAACTATTACACTTAACAATTTTGTTCTGTTCTCTAGCCTCACTGGAGAAGTCTAAGTCACCCCAGAGCTAAAATTACATATCAATTACTAATTTATAAACAGTGTTATGTTGTGTTGTGCTGCATCTTATTATGTCAGGTCATGGCTTCATGGTTGAAATTTCAATTAGTGTTGTACTCTAGGGCTTTGATTAGAAAATTTCCAGATTTAGGCTAGAAGTTCATGAGGAAGTTAGAAAGTCTGGGGGTAAAAACATATCAGTGGTGGTCTTTGGGAAGAGGAGAGTAGTAAAGCTTTATTTTGGTGTTTATGTAACATAAATTCGTATGACGAGGAAGTCAGACTAGTGTTAAATTTCACTGGTCCTCCAGGAGCAAGCTAAAAGGAAAGCAAACTCTATCGAGCTATTAGGATTTGAAGGTCTTTGAGCTCTAGGGGGTCATGACAGACCTGAACTATGTGTGAAGGGAGAGACTTAAAGAAGCTAATTGTTACGGAATAATGAGTTTTGACCTTCAGTTCAGAAAGAGCTTGTTACCCTTAATAGAGGGGACACACAATACAACTTTGAACTTTTGTCTGGAACCTGAATGTGCAAAAGTGCATTTATAAAGCTGCCTTCCGTACAGCTGTGAATTCAAATTATTTGGTTTTATAGGACCTTGGAGAAACTGGGAAGAACTGTTAAAACGTGAATAATGTAAAATAGTGTAAAACTGAAATTAGGTCAGTTTTGTTGTGTTTCTGTTTTGTTTTGATGTTTTTCCTCCGATGTTGGTATTTTTAACTCCCCCTGTCACAGTGCTACATTGACATTCCAGCATGCCCCAGTCAGTCCTACCTGATTTTTCTTTACTCATTTAGTTCCATCTTTTTGTTTGTTTGTTTGGGGGTTTTTTTGGGTGGTTTTTTTTTTTTTTTTGGCACTGTCCTGTGCTGGTACCTTGCCGATCATTTAGCAGGTTTCCAGTCTGACTTGTCAGGGGAGAAGTTGCACGTACATAGTTGGAAGAGGACAAGAATCACCACTTCACCTAGTCCTACAAACAACAAAAATATGCCCCTCATTCCTTCCTTCCAGATATTTTTTTCTTTTCTTTTACTCTTGTTTGTGTTTTGTCTTGTTTGTATTTGGTTTGTGAATTAATGAGAAAAAGTTGAAGTACTTTTGCTGCAATGTAGGGTAACCAGTTATTTAAATGACAGAAATACTATGAGAGGTGAAGTTTCAATCTTTTTCCTGTCTACATGAGTAAATAAATAGGTTTGTCACTAAAGATCTAAAGCAAATGGTATAGGAAACAGAAGAGAGAGAGAGTGTTACGTGATATATTCTGGGTGACCTGGAGCCCTGAAGAGTTTTGGCACTTCACAGGATACAAGGGTGAGGACTGTAGTGAGACGGTCAGTGGAACTGCAGGGATTTTTGTAGAAATTGTCATCCCAGATGTTTTTTTTTTTTTGTTTGTTTGTTTTTTTTTTTTTGTTTTCCTGAAAAAATTTGGATTTCTGAAGAATTTTCTAATTAAAAAGAATTAGCATTCCATGAAGAAGTTCATCTATCTCTGGTAATTCCTTTGAGGAACAAACTCTGAATGTGAAAGGTTCAGTGAAGCAGAAGCCCTTGTTCCTGCACAGCTGCACAGCTGGGGTGGCCAGCTTTGCAGGGGCCCAGGGCTGCCAGGAGAGGCATAAGGGAAATGAACCTCTGCAGAGCTCTTTGCTCCTGGGTCCTTTTGACAGATTGAGTTCACTGTGCCACATCCTGGTCCTACTTCCTCTCAGTCTTAAGAGTGCTTTTTAACAATGTTACGTTCTTGAATAAACTCTTTTTAAAAAAAAAAAAAAAGAAAAAAAAAAGGCATGTTGAGGGTATCAACTCAGAATATCCCTTTTCTTACACCCAGTAGAGCTTGCTTATGAGAACAGCCTACCGAATCCTTAGCAATAAAACCAAGATGAATAATAACCTCTAGGTTCTGTACTTTAATGTACAATACAGGATCACGTGTCTTTTTGTTCTTATTAGTTTAGCTTGAGTCTAGATCATAATGATTGTTTTGATTTTCATGCATTTCCATAGGTATTGTTGGCAGAGATCAATTTTTTATTGGGGTTTTGCATTGAAATATGTGATACTTAAGAGCAGTACTGATCCAGAAACATCTCAAATACATAAGCATCTTGGTTCAGCAATTCTTTATTCCTGCGTCTGCATAAATTAGCTTCAAGCAGCACAGTTAATGCATTTCCAAAGAGTGTCAGCCTTTACTTTTGGGTTTGCTTTTTTGTTTCAGAAAGCAGATGTCTTCTAAAGATTTAATAGTTAAAGTCAACACGTCAGAAATTTTGATGCATATATTTAGGTATGCTAAAGAATTTTAAAATCAGATTATGTCTAATTGTTTTCTTTCTTAGGATTTTTAATGCTGCATATTTTCTGTGGCTTTGTTTTCCTTTTCACACCCTGCAGAATGGGTTGCTTGTGTGAGGTCCAACTTCCTGGTTTTGTGCTATCTGCATGACGTGAAGAACATCCTGCAACTTCATGACCTAGCTACTGGTGCACGTCTCAAGACTTTCCCCCTAGAGGTTGGCAGTATTGTGGGATATAGTGGTCAAAAGAAGGACACTGAAATATTCTATCAGTTTACTTCCTTTTTATCTCCAGGTAAGTTTTTTTTTTTTTTCCCCTTAGTTATTGTTCCTTTTCCTGGGAACTATATATTTCTCATTTTCTTTTGTTTAGTGGATATTAAGTATTCTAAGATGCAGGTAAAACTGCTTCTCCCTATATAGTAGGTTATGGTTGTGCACTTTAAAATGTACCAGTCCCTTACCCATGAAGCCTAAATAATATGCCTACTAATATGTGAGAGACCTGCAATGAGAAATTATTCAAGACTTGTAGCATTCTCACAGCTCTTGCTTCATCCAGCAAGATTCAGGTTTAGAAACTCTGCTGAAGACAACTGTTAATGTATTTAAGGTGATTTTCATCGCAGTTTTGAAGAACATTAATAAAGGTCACAAAAATTCTTTCTCTGACAGCTTTGTGATTCATTTATATATAGCCTTATTAGAGCATCCTTACTATCTGTCCTTTGAACACTAAGTGTTGTTGGATTGCTGTATGAATCCTCCTTTCCTCCCCTTCCTCAGCAATCAATAGCTAATACAGAACAAGGTTCAAATATGGAGAGGGGCGATGGGCTTTGGAATCTCTATCTTCTTCCAGGGTTCTGAGTGATCATGAATCACAAGATGACCAAAAATGTTCCTGTAACATCTGAAATAGATTTTTGCTCTGTTTCAGTTAGAGCACAGCCATACTGCAAAACAGCTGTATAATAGTTCTGATAGGTTTGCTGGTTTTACTAGAAATGATTGTGTGAACTTATCAAAACTGTAGTTCAAGTTTAAGGGATAAGAATTGTGATGAATTTCCTATTATTGTCTTACTGTTTACATAACAGAAATAAGATATGTTTCCAATTCCTCTTCAATAAATTTTTAAGCAACATTCAGAGCCTTGCAGCCATTGCAACTGGAGAGGAGCTTGAGGACACCCTTGCATTTACCTCTAGCTTCATCCCAGCTTGGAGGTTCAGGTAGTTCACTTGCCCACTTCACACCTCATGGGCCAGCAGTTGCCAGTGTGGTGGTGCAGACCCTCCAGGTCACACTGCCATGTCAGCCTCAGGCAGCATTGTGCTCCTAATTACAAGTGCAGTGAGCTGGGACAGTCTGGCATTTTCTGACCTTGCCTACTGGAGCAGTGAGTTGAGACAATCCGGTACCTTCTTGTCTTAGGTACAAGTACAGTGAGTTGGAAGGATTAGGCAGTCCCTAACCACACCTGAAACTCCTGTTGCCTGGGAAACATACCTGCAACTCCTGCCTGGATTGTGGCCCACTCTGAAGGGGGCCAAGATTCCCTGACAAGAATAATGGCCGCAATGAAGAAGTACTGAGTAAAGTCAATCATCTTGTGACCCTGTAAATACTGATCCTAAGAGAGCCCTTTGAGGTCTCTAGGATCACAGCAGGCTGTGACCCGGTGCCTCCCCCAGAGCTGGGGTGCTTCTCCGTAGATTTTTCGCAAGATTCTCAAGGTAGTTTTTATGACGTAACTCTTGAGTGTCTGCTGACAGACAGGGTCAAAGGTCATCTGTTGGTAAATGCCAATGAAAGAAAAGTAATTCACTCTAATTGGTTTCCCATGAGGTTTCAAAGATAATTGGATACCAAAAACTTACTATAATCTGCGAAGAAAGAGACATCTCAACCATAGGTTAACCCCTGTGTCTGTGTGTGTGTGCACAGTTTGATTTGGAAGCTTTGTTGGCTCTTTAGGTCACTGTGCTGATTATAACAGATTGTTAATTACTGACTAATTATTGCTAGAAAATCATACAATCTAATCTTACATTTTATTGTAACAGTGTTAATAAATCTTGAATTGCTGTTACATCATAGTTGTATAGGGCCCATAATAGCACGTTGGATCAATACCACTGAAATCATGTACCAAAATTCCTAGACAGAAACTGTTGATCAAGTCTGGGACTAAGACTGTATTCAACCACACCTAGACTCCTGTCTGAGCAGAAGTTTAGAAACAAGAGAGTCCATTCTGAACCTCATGATGCAATTGGAGAGCCTCCATTTTACCCTTTTTGTCTCCATTCTCTGCATAAATCGTTCTAGCCCAGTTCTAACTCGATTTTCCTTTTTGTATTTCCTTGTAGTGAGTGAACCTTGCCACTGAACTCTGTCACACTTTAACAGATTATATTAAAAATCACTTTCTCTATTATCATTGATGGTGATTTTTTAAGTGAAATTTCACTCCTCCATGACAGATTGGCATAGTCAGCAGGATCCTAAATCAGGATTCCATCACAAGTGATTTAAAACACTCATCTGTGACAGCCAGTCTTAAAAGCCTGCACGGTTCATCTCAGCTGAGCAAGTAGAGTCTCTGCAGCTGCTAAACACGTGGAGGGAAGAGCTCAGAGGTCTGTTCTAGCCCATGGCTTGCCAGCCAGCCCTGGCTGCTCTCACTGCCTGCTGGTTGCTTAGGCAGGTTTTTTTCTCTCCTTCATCCATGTGCTTAGCATTAACAGAGAATTTGCCATGGTGTGGTTTTGTAAACTCGGGCAGGGCAACCTGGAATCTAGAAGAAAGAGGAAGGGAAGAAATGGAGATAGACTGCATGGGAATAAGGAAAGGGTTTGGAAAGCAGATCAGTGAGGTAATTTTTAGGTAGGTGCGGATATTTTTTTAATTTGCATGTAACCTACATTCACCCTATTAGTGGAATAACCAGACAAAAGGCATGGGGCTGGGCCTTGATTAACCTGGACTTTCCAACCTTACTACTAGAAATAATACAATTTGCACTTGTATTAAGTTGTGCTGTTTTGGTTTTTCTTCTAGAGAGAATCAAATTAACATACTGGTGTTTAATATCTACAACAAAAGTAGTAGTGTATGTGTATCTGAAATAAAGGACAAAGCAGTTCTAAAGCCATAGATGCTGGCACCATAAAAATAGTTTTTGCTGTTCCCTGAAAAAATAGTTATCCCTGCTGTCAACTCCAATTGGACACTTAGGTGAGCACTCCAGTGTTTTGCATTTACTTAGCACCCAGCAAGAGTGCAGACCTCCACATTACCCTGGTTTTGGATATTAACTGCCGTGCTGCTAAAAATGTAACAGAACAAGAGATGCAGTACCAGGGGTTCAACTGCACGTGACTGTAATACTAGATTCATTGACTCCCAAAATGCAGTCTGACTGTGCTTACACTTCAGCATGTGGTTTCCTAATACACAGCTATCCTGCCTGCTCTGCGTATAAGGTTTGCCAATACTTTATCCAGCTTGGGCAGCCGTATATATGTCAGATGACTGCTCTGCCTGCTACCACCTGGTGTGCTTTCCTTTGTGCTTTTGCATCACTTTCTGGATCCTGATCTTTAAGGGAAATGCTGCTTTAATGCTCGTTTGTACCTGCCACCCTGCATTAGGCTTGCTAGTCACTTCGTAACAAATGAAGAAAAAAAATTCTCAGCAGATTAGACTAGTCCTACTTGTATTCCCATATTAATTCACCATTACAGGAACAGGCTTTAACAATTATTAGCAGTGTTAAGTTTCATCTGTGTTCTTTGTTCAATCGCTATCTTTTGGATTTTTCACAGTCTATGGAAGTGATTTAATAAGGCAATTCCCTTTTATCAGATATGTTTCCTCATTATTTCAAGTTTCAATATAGTTTTTTTTATAGCTATAGCCTCTGTAATAATTATTTCTGGTTTCCTGAAAGTATCTGAAATATAGACAATACAGCAGTATTTCAGTCAAGTCCTGTCCACCTTGGTTAATTTTATTACATTGATGATCCCTGTAGAGGGCTTGTGCTTTAACTTTTAGTGTTCTTTTTCCTTAATGTGCATTTAAAATTTTACAGAGATGAGCTTGTTGTAAAGCACAAAAACAAAGCATAATTAACACTGATCTTAGTTTTATGTATCATGGGTATCTGTAGTATATCCATGAATACTGAGATGTTTTAGCACATTAACCAGTTTGCAAACACAACAGTCACCCTGTATGGCACATGCTCAAATGTTATTAGGGGTGAATGACAGAGAATGTGATTTATAATCTAAATGCAAAATACTTCTTGGTTAACGACACATCTCTGTAGTGTCTAGATTGCTACAGTCTCTGTGATTCTGCCTCTGCTGCAACCTGGAAGTGTTATACTGCCTACAGACATACATTTTCTCATGTACACAGTCCTTTGGAAGTCATAGGTGCAGCTCAAGGAAGTGAAACTGCCTTCAAACCCACAGGTTCAGGATGTAAAACAAATCATACAAGACCAAATTCTCTTCCGTTACGTAGGCTACCTGTGCTGGTCTACCACAATTTCTAGTGGATGCTCAGCTGCTTCTGTTATCTGGGACTCCATTTTAATTGTAATCCTAAAATATTTTATCATAAAAGCAAAAAATGCTGACCAGAGTTAAAATCTTGGTATGTTTATTCTCAGTCTGGTGGCTCTCGAGATGTTTTAAAATTGACCTTATAATTCTTTCTTTCAACATTATCATTCTCAAAAAGTGCTGTGTAACTTTATGAAAACAAATCTTTTTTCCATTTTGCTTAACCCACTTTGGGTACACTTGGCTTTGTATGGGCAGCGAGAATGACTCTTTCTGTACAGAAAGCCTTTGCACCCTTCCTAGGTGAAGGGCAGATATGTATGTGCTACATTATATACTAACTGAAAGAATATGTCTGCAGCAACTGTTTTTCACCCTGCTGAGTTACCTTTGCCATTCATTGCTCCATCACAGCGCCTAAACTGGCATCCTTGTAATGATGGACATACAAGAAGCTGAAAAACTTGCACTCTGTTTTAGGTATTATCTATCACTGTGATCTGACCAAAGAGGAACTGGAGCCAAGAGTTTTCCGGGAGGTGACTGTGAAAGGATTTGATCCTTCAGTTTACCAGACAATTCAGGTAATAAACAGGAATCCTCCTGTCTTTCTGTAAGCACTTATGCAAGAGTTTAACACAATTGCACTTGGCTAAGGGTGTGAGTGCTTTGATTAGCTCCTGGGTTTGCAGGTCTGTGTGCACGCTAAAGGAATTCTACCAAGTCTTGTTAGGCAGATTGGAAGATGTCACGGGGAAGTAACCAGAGCAGACTCAATCCTCAGCTGTCTCACGTTATGAGGCAATATGTTCTTTATTTTTTTCCTATGTTATGGTATTCTTTGATATTTGTTTTTGCATCAGGTTGCTACTTTTCCATGTTTATCTATTTCTTCCACCAGGGCAACTTGGCATGGTTCCTATAGGCAAGTGTGTGATAGGACAAGGCTTAAGAGGCAGTGGAGAAGCAGAAGAAACTTGGAAGAGCCAGTTGTCTTCCAAGTACTTCCACGGTATTCTGGAGCCCACCATGGGAAGTGGCGACCGTAGATAAAACACTTCTGTCCCCACCACTCTTGTAAAAAAAATACTGATAGTTTTGCCACAGGTTCATTCTGTGGATCTCTTACAACCTCGCTAAGAAATTGGGAGGAAAGAAGGAAATGCATTGATTCATTTGTAGCTGCCATCAAATGTGGAATCTGCTGTAGAAATATGAAAGATCTCAACCATGATTATTCGGAAGGAAAGCAGGAAAATGTCTAGTGATGTGAACAGAAAAATCATGTTCATTCATGCTGTGTAGGAACTTCCTATCCTGTCTACCTTTCCAAGAAGTGCCCTAGTATATTGTGCTCATTAATGCATCAGTGCAGTTACACTTGCAGCAAATCACACTCAACTCACTTGGACTGAGTGAGTGTGCTCAACTCACTTGGAGCAAGTCACTTTGATTTTCATAAGAGCAGGATTAGACCCTTTGCTTGCAGTGCTGGAACAAATAGAACAAAGTGCAAAAGATAAAAACAATTTAAAATACATGTGTGTAATTACCATTTTTAATGTAAAACCCCATGAAACAATTATTGTGCAGATCTAACAGCTTTTAGTATTAGATGTTTAAAGGATTTTGGAGAGGGACCCCTGCATTCTAGCTACATCCTACCTAGTACATAGGATCTGGGTCCATGGGAGGTTGCTTCAGGACTTAATGTAGGTTATCACTGCACTAATACTCTGTTTTAACTGTTTCCCAAGATTCTAATGTTTGTGATTCCATGAATAAAGAATTAAAAGACAAACATTGTCCTACGTAGCATGGCTTAATCGAAACCAAGTGCTGTCAAATATGCCTGCTTCCTCTTAGGAGAGCAAGCTTGCATGGGTGGTTTATAAAGCCATCAAAGACTTGATTAAACAAAGGCCTCTGGATCTAAAAGTTTGCATAAGTGAAGTTTAAAAGTACAGGCATGGATGATCTACAAACTGATTCTGTGAGACATAAAGATGGACAGAAAAGAGTGAGGTCCTTGCTAGCAAGGTCCAATGCTATTCAGTAAATTCCTCAGGATTTAAAGAATAAAGTCCTTGTTGACAAAGTATTTGGAGTCAACAAAGACTGACAGATAAAAAAGTATGAAGGACAGCAGCTTACTGATGTATAACAATGTGAACTGCTTGTTAAATGGTCCCATTATGGCTGTATTTCAGTATAGCCAAGTGAGGGCAAGACATCTGGTAACCAAGGAGGGATTTACCCTACTTCAGAATCTGAAATCAGGTAGGTTCTGTCAGCTGATCTCCCGGAGCTCCCTTTGTATCTACAGTAAATATAATATTGTGGGAGTGAAATGGCTTGTGCTGAGGGCCCAGTGTCTGTTCTCAGAGTTTTATTTTGGACTAGCTGTAGTCCTGTCCTGTGAGCTGAATTTCCATTATTGGTTAAAATACTTTTGGTACACTCCTGGAGCATACCTAGCATATCTGCCACTTGAGTTTCATCCAGGAGGAATCCAGTCTGCATACACTGAAACCTCTCAGCCATGGGAAGTGAGTGGTGAGGAGATTTGCTTTAGAACCCCACTTGTGCTTTGAACTGAAATGCTGTTGTAGGTGCACCAAAGGCTCAGTTACTCCTATGGAAAACAGTGTGAGCTACAGATGATACAGAACAGGCTCAGGAAGGTACAGGGCTCTTCATAGACAACTGCTTTGACCTCATAACAAGTATTGTGACTGAAAAGATTGTATAATATACGTTTTAAGTAGTAAGTGATCTTTCCACTAACCACAACTTTGGTAAGCTTCTGATAAAATACTGTGCCCTGGTCAAGACTCTAAGAAAAATATAGAAATTCTTGAGTTCATAGAAATTTGTTGAAATCACAGGATCATTTAGGTTGGAAAAGACCTTTAAAATCATCCAGTCCAACTGTAAACCTAACACTTCCAAGACACTAAACCATGTCACTAAGCACCACATCTATACATCTTTTAAATACTTCCAGGGATGGTGACTCAGCCAAAATAACTGGGGGATCTAGAAGAACAGTCTTTGCATTGTGATGCTTAGTATATTTAGCAGCTGCAATTCACAGAAGTAATGAAGGGGTTTTATAATTAATTTATGTGTAGGTTTTGCATCTGTAGAGTAAGAGTGGAATACAGGAGTTTTCTTTCTATAGACAAAGGTATAAGAAGGTCCAGTGCCTAAAGTGGAACTTAAATAAGCTTAGCCTGGGAAAAGGTGAAATGACCTCTGAGATAAAGTTAAGCAACAATGTGACAGCATGGCTTGGAGTCTTTGAAAGGAGATTCAGTATTTCTCTTAATCTCTTAATATTTTTATTTTTGCCCCTGGCACATAGGGCAGATTCTCTAAAAGCATAAAGACAGTAGTGTGTGTGCATGAGGTGGTTGTAAACAGCCCCATCTGTTTGTCTCTACATCTCCAGACAGAAGTAAGAGTGTTGTAGAGGACAGTTTGCTGGGAGTGTTCTCACTGAGAATGTGATTTTACTGCTTCCCTCAAATTCATTAAGGGACTTCTGCAGGATAACTTCAGGGCATAGCGAGCTGAAAAAGAGAAAGAAAACATTTCCTGTAGGAAAGAACTTGGTACACTTATAATACTGCCATCAAACTCAGAAGGATAATAATGGAACACAAATGCCCATGTAATTAAAAAGGGTTTAGAAGGGTTGCTATAAATTAGAAATAATGTATTTTTCTAGTAAATCAAATTATATGAAATAAATGTCTGGAAAAACAAAATCTCATTTTACATTTCGATCAATTACATGCTAAATTAAGGTAAAGTAGAACAATAATACAGATAATTTCAAGGAGGAAGCATGCTGTTGTTATGCCCTTGGAAACCTTCACTTTGCAAATGACTGGCAGAGCCTCACCACTGGGCTGTAATGGGGTGGGAATCAGTGTTGCTGTTTCTGTTTTTCTCCTTACTCCTGCTCAGGCCCAGCTCTAGGGAAATGAGACCTGTGTAGTTACACCAGGACTAGTGCTTCTAAAGAGCATTCCTGCCTCACCACTCATCCAGTTTTGCCTTTTAACACTGAATGATCTCAGTGTGGCAACGTTTTGGAAATTAAGTTTCCCCTGTCGTTCATTTCCATGGAGAAGTCTCAGCTGAGCTGTGAAAGAGGCTGTTGGTCAGGGCCAGGGCTGGGACTGCCTGGTCCCCTTTGTAGTAACTCAGCCTGCACACTGCTGCCAGACTCCAGGCCTCATCTCCATTTGTGGGGTCCCACTTGGACCCTTGATGATGCCTCTGCTTAGAAAAGGAGCTTATCAAAGCAGTTTGTAAACGGCTGTCAGCTGAGATGAAAGCCTTGTGTGGCCATTGCAAAACCCAGGCAACATTGCAGGGAGTGTGAAAGAAACTCTACAAGAAATACTGAGAATAGGCAAAGACTGCTAATTACAGGAAAATGAACAACATTGCAGAATTTATTTTTTCATTTTAGTTTCCGTCAGAATTACTAAGAAGTAAAGAAAAGTGTTGCTGCCTCTGATTCATGTCCTTAATGAAAGGCAGGTCTCCTGCCAGGGTTGTTTCTTTTTTCTCATATACCTGAAGAAATACTGACTAAGACTAGCAACCTTCCTGCCTCTGTCTGTATAGCATATATGAAACTTTAATGAGTTGTTGTTCTGTAGCAATCTTTGAGCATAACTGAGTTAAGATTTGAACTGAAGTCTAAGGTGCCATGTGTGCGTGAAACCTGAATTAATTGCAATTGGAAAATACCACGGTGCCTGGTTTTTACTGTTTTGGATCTTCTTTACAGTATTTCATCGGTGCTGTGCAGTGCAAATGTGGACCAGGGATAAAATTCACTACATAAAGTGAATTTATGGTGGAGCAGCTGCTTTGTAGTACCTGAGATTAAGTTTTTACCCTTTGGGAGCCCAAAGTAAGAAAAAATTAGCCAATTTGGCTTGCCCTGAAGGGAGAGCTGTCAATCTACCTGACATTTACACCAGGGTAAGAGTATGCCTGTAGATTGTTTGCTCTATGTGACACCCTCCAAGTACATAGTCTATCTTAGTGTGCACCAGCTTGTGCATATGCCCTTATCTTGAAAGACTCTGTGACCTTCATGAAAAAAGACTCTTTCAAATGCTTGCCACACATAAAAAATTTATCCTGGGTACTTTTCTTAAATGATATATTAAGTTACATTAATAACTTTTCCTCTGCCAAACGCTTCTTGAAATTTTTCTTTGCTTCCCTGCACGCTCCTATCCATCACAATGTCACAATTTTTGAGGGAATAGCCTTGGGTGGGTGTTACAGGAGGAAAAAACACTTTTGCAGGAACTTACAAACTGCACTTGCCCTAAGCTGTTGGCTGCGTAAGTAACTCAACTGCTGATTTAAATAAAAAGCCTGTATTTTATCTTTACAAACTTACCAACTAAGTTCTGATATGCCTCTCCACATTAACAGCTCCCCGTGACACTTAATCACAGATAAACAGTATTCTGGGCTGACTTACAACTCATTTTTAGGCTCCTATGCAGGCTTCTAAGTGTTGAAATTGCAACAATGATTGGCTCCT